CCACAAGCTGTTCGAGCCTCCCCTCGTGGGTTTCCTCCACTACCGACCTCAGATTGACTCGAACGAGTCAAACTAAGACCCATAATGAGGGTACCTCCGGAGGGAAAGAATGCTGCTCATAAGCAATAGATGGACAACTCTGCTCTGCCCTTTATAAAAGACAGAATACTCATTCCTTCTGAGTATATACGTCTACCATACAAATATGTTTGTAGGACACAATACATGCTGGTGAAACACAGTAGTACCTTCCCTGCATTTAACGCTCACACTCCATGAAAGTGGTCGTGAGTACACGCCAGTACGTCTCGGTAGTCTACCCGTGTACGTAACCGTATGCGTTCTTTGCCAGTGGCAACGAAAACACCGGCCACGATAACTGGAAATCGCAATGCACTTTTCAATGGTCATACATGCACAACGTGTTAAATTGTTCCATAACACGCGGTTTTTCACTAGGGCGTGCATATCGATGCACAGGTGACATAACTTAATACGTCTTCTTTTTATGCACCGATACTTTATTGCGATTCCCAGTACACGTGTTCCACTATTCATGGAACTTGCAAATACGAATGATACCTTTGTGTCTTGCGACACTGGTTCCGGTTTTTGAAACGTGCTGTCGCGTCTCGTGGTATTGCGCTAACTGCTACAACATGCTCATCTAAGAAGGCACCACTATGTTTTCCCCTTTATTTTAAACATACCGGTATGGTTCCGTTCTTTCTACTCTATATTCAAATCTATTATCTAAATTTCTTTTACACATTAATGAATTCAATACTATTTTTGTACCAGCTGACTGTAGTTGTAGACTATTGTGAATTTATTGTATTTTCTATATTCTGTAAATTTCCTTATGTAAATCGTATTTCATTCTACATTCATAAATGATACCAGACGACGACATTGAAATTATAAGTAAGCAATGTGACTTCGTTCGCATCACATTCACCTCTATATCAAACTTTTAAAGTTGAACTCATAAATATACTTTTAATATAAAATATTTATGAATTGCATTACTAATTGTAAACATGGCATACAAGAAGACCCTAGCCTAGCTAAGGAACACAACAGATCAATGTTACTACTCGCGGATATGATTGCATATCCGCGTTCACTGTACTCGCCAAATTTAGCACGTATACAACCAGTCTCCCGTGCCGCTTCGGACCTATCGTCCTACGGCATGATTGGGGACCAGAGGAATAAAAAAGCATGCGACTCACCCGATGATAGAAGGGCTGCGTATAAGACAAGAATGTTGAATGAAGTGGAGCTTTGCCCGAGGACATCTTATTGAGTACTGATGAATGTGAGCTTTGCTGGACGATATTATCCTGAAAATCCAACGAAAAAAATTATAAGTTGCTACTCTTTTAACCAGTTAATATTCTTTGATTCTTTCTCGTTTAATTTGTAATTAAAATGATTCAAATTTGTATTAATAACAATTGAAAAGCAAAGATGGGATACTTATTAATTTAATAGAATTCAGTCATTAAGAAAAAGACCCTACTGGAAATTCATTTTTAAAGACAAAAAGACTAATCATGATTCTTTAATAAGATATTTGACTCTACATATTTAACAACCCACATTACATATTCAACAACCCACGGGTGATCCCATTGTCAAAGCCATTGCAAGACACATAACATAAGTTTAGCAAACATGTAACTTTGACTCAAAAACCTACCCATCGCAAAATGTCTTCTTATACATGATCTCTAATATAATATGTGTATGGAACACTTTTTTTTAATGCAAAGTATCAAATTTTTCAA